GTAACAAGACTGCTATATCATATCTAAATACTGCTATATCATATCTAAATACTGCTATATCATATCTAAATACTGCAATATCATATCTAAATACTGCTATATCATATCTAAATACTGCTATATCATATCTAAATACTGCTATATCATATCTAAATACTGCTATATTATCATATCTAAATACTGCTATATCATATCTAAATACTGCTATATCATATCTAAATACTGCTATATTATATCTAAATACTGCTATATCATATCTAAATACTGCTATATCATATCTAAATACTGCAATATCATATCTAAATACTGCTATATCATATCTAAATACTGCTATATCATATCTAAATACTGCTATATCATATCTAAATACTGCTATATCATATCTAAATACTGCTATATCATATCTAAATACTGCTATATCATATCTAAATACTGCTATATCATATCTAAATACTGCTATATCATATCTAAATACTGCTATGTCATATCTAAATACTGCTATATCATATCTAAATACTGATATATCATATCTAAATACTGCTATATCATATCTAAATACTGCTATATCATATCTAAATACTGCTATATTATCATATCTAAATACTGCTATATCATATCTAAATACTGCTATCATATCTAAATACTGCAATATCATATCTAAATACTGCTATATCATATCTAAATACTGCTATATCATATCTAAATACTGCTATATTATATCTAAATACTGCTATATCATATCTAAATACTGCTATGTTATCATATCTAAATACTGCTATATTATCATATCTAAATACTGCTATATCATATCTAAATACTGCTATATTATCATATCTAAATACTGCTATATCATATCTAAATACTGCTATATCATATCTAAATACTGCTATATCATATCTAAATACTGCTATATCATATCTAAATACTGCTATATTATATCTAAATACTGCTATATCATATCTAAATACTGCTATATCATATCTAAATACTGCAATATCATATCTAAATACTGCTTATTCATATCTAAATACTGCTATATCATACTCTAAATACTGCTATATCATATCTAAATACTGCTATATTTATCATATCTAAATACTGCTATATCATATCTAAATACTGCTATTCATATCTAAATACTGCTATATCATATCTAATTTCTGCTATGTTATCATATCTAAATACTGCTATATCATATCTAAATACTGCTATATCATATCTAAATACTGCTATATTATCATATCTAAATACTGCTATATATATATCTAAATACTGCTATATTATCATATCTAAATACTGCTATATCATATCTAAATACTGCTATAATTATATCTAAATACTGCTATATCATATCTAAATACTGCTATATCATATCTAAATACTGCTATATCATATCTAAATACTGCTACTATTCATATCTAAATACTGCTATATATCATATCTAAATACTGCTATATCATATCTAAATACTGCTATATCATATCTAAATACTGCTATATTCATATCTAAATAATGCTATATCATATCTAAATACTGCTATATCATATCTAAATACTGCTATATATCATATCTAAATACTGCTATATCATATCTAAATACTGCTATATCATATCTAAATACTGCTATATTATCATATCTAAATACTGCTATATTATATCTAAATACTGCTATATCATATCTAAATACTGCTATATCATATCTAAATACTGCTATATTATCATATCTAAATACTGCTATATTATCATATCTAAATACTGCTATATTATCATATCTAAATACTGCTATATTATATCTAAATACTGCTATATCATATCTAAATACTGCTATATCATATCTAAATACTGCTATATTATCATATCTAAATACTGCTATATCATATCTAAATACTGCTATATCATATCTAAATACTGCTATATTATCATATCTAAATACTGCTATATCATATCTAAATACTGCTATATCATATCTAAATACTGCTATATCATATCTAAATACTGCTATATCATATCTAAATACTGCTATATCATATCTAAATACTGCTATATCATATCTAAATACTGCTATATTATATCTAAATACTGCTATATTATATCTAAATACTGCTATATTATCATATCTAAATACTGCTATATCATATCTAAATACTGACGTATATCATATCTAAATACTGCTATATCATATCTAAATACTGCTATATCATATCTAAATACTGCTAATATCATATCTAAATACTGCTATATCATATCTAAATTACTGCTGATGTATCCTATCTAAATACTGCTATGTCATATCAAATACTGCTATATCATATCTAAATACTGCTATATCATATCTAAATACTGCTATTCTTATCATATCTAAATACTGCTAATCATATCTAAATACTGCTATATCATATCTAATACTGCTATTATCATATCTAAATACTGCTATATCATATCTAATACTACTGCTATATCATATCTAAATACTGCTATATCATATCTAAATACTGCTATATCATATCTAAATACTGCTATATATCATATCTAATACTGCTATATCATATCTAAATACTGCTATATCATATCTAAATACTGCTATATTATCATATCTAAATACTGCTATATCATATCTAAATACTGCTATATCATATCTAAATACTGCTATATCATATCTAAATACTGCTATATCATATCTAAATACTGCTATATTATCATATCTAAATACTGCTATATTATCATATCTAAATACTGCTATATTATCATATCTAAATACTGCTATATTATCATATCTAAATACTGCTATATCATATCTAAATACTGCTATATCATATCTAAATACTGCTATATCATATCTAAATACTGCTATATCATATCTAAATACTGCTATATTATCATATCTAAATACTGCTATATCATATCTAAATACTGCTATATTATCATATCTAAATACTGCTATTATCATCATATAAATACTGCTATATATCATATCTATACTGCTATATTATATCTAAATACTGCTATATCATATCTAAATACTGCTATATCATATCTAAATACTGCTATATTATCATATCTAAATACTGCTATATCATAATCTAAATACTGCTATATCATATCTAAATACTGCTATATTATCATATCTAAATACTGCTATATCATATCTAAATACTGCTATACTCAATACTAAATACTGCTATATCATATCTAAATACTGCTATATCATATCTAAATAACTGCTATTATCATATCTAAATACCTGATATCATATCTAAATACTGCTATATCGATATCTAAATACTGCTATATTCATATCTAAATACTGCTATTTATCATATCTAAATACTGCTATGTCATATCTAAATACTGCTATATCATATCTAAATACTGCTATATCATATCTAAACTACTGCTATAATCATATCTAAATACTGCTATATCATATCTAAATACTGCTATAATCATATCTAAAATACTGCTATATCATATCTAAATACTGCTATATTATCATATCTAAATACTGCTATATCATATCTAAATACTGCTATATCATATCTAATACTGCTATATCATATCTAAATACTGCTATATTATCATATCTAAATTACTGCTATATCATATCTAAATACTGCTATATCATATCTCAAATACTGCTATATCATATCTAATACTGCTATATCATATCTAAATACTGCCTATATTATCATATCTAAATACTGCTATATCATATCTAAATACTGCTATATTATATCTAAATACTGCTATATCATATCTAAATACTGCTATATTATCATATCTAAATACTGCTATATCATATCTAAATACTGCTATATCATATCTAAATACTGCTATATCATATCTAAATACTGCTATATCATATCTAAATACTATATCATATCTAAATACTGCTATATCATATCTAAATACTGCTATATCATCTAAATACTGCTATATCATATCTAAATACTGCTATGTTATCATATCTAAATACTGCTATATCATATCTAAATACTGCTATATCATATCTAAATACTGCTATATCATATCTAAATACTGCTATATTATCATATCTAAATACTGCTATATCATATCTAAATACTGCTATATCATATCTAAATACTGCTATATTATCATATCTAAATACTGCTATATTATCATATCTAAATACTGCTATATCATATCTAAATACTGCTATATCATATCTAAATACTGCTATATATCATATCTAAATACTGCTATATCATATCTAAATACTGCTATATCATATCTAAATACTGCTATATCATATCTAAATACTGCTATATCATATCTAAATACTGCTATATCATATCTAAATACTGCTATGTTATCATATCTAAATACTGCTATATCATATCTAAATACTGCTATATCATATCTAAATACTGCTATATTATATCTAAATACTGCTATATCATATCTAAATACTGCTATATATCATATCTAAATACTGCTATATCATATCTAAATACTGCTATATCATATCTAAATACTGCTATATCATATCTAAATACTGCTATATCATATCTAAATACTGCTATGTTATCATATCTAAATACTGCTATATCATATCTAAATACTGCTATATCATATCTAAATACTGCTATATCATATCTAAATACTGCTATATCATATCTAAATACTGCTATATCATATCTAAATACTGCTATGTTATCATATCTAAATACTGCTATGTTATCATATCTAAATACTGCTATATCATATCTAAATACTGCTATATCATATCTAAATACTGCTATATCATATCTAAATACTGCTATATCATATCTAAATACTGCTATGTTATCATATCTAAATACTGCTATATCATATCTAAATACTGCTATATCATATCTAAATACTGCTATATCATATCTAAATACTGCTATATTATCATATCTAAATACTGCTATGTTATCATATCTAAATACTGCTATATCATATCTAAATACTGCTATATCATATCTAAATACTGCTATATCATATCTAAATACTGCTATA